TGTATTGCTAAATGCACGTAAAGTGCAAAAAGAAGCTTAGTTAATCTACGACTGAGCGGGGCTGTAGAGAGCCCAAAGTGGTTTTATGGTTATATAAGGAGGATGACGCACAACAGAGACTCAATCTCTCCACTGATCAGTAGTATAGAGTTAATTATCAAAACTGCAGACCGTAATACAGAGGCGTTCGTGCCTGTGAATTTTTCAGTAGTAAAGCAACAGAAACGGTAAAGAATATTTTCATCATATCCGGCTTTTTTCGCCAAAGTGTCACACCCCCTAAATATCGACACGTCAATAGCAAGTAAAAATGAAATCAAACGCCATATCTCCAAAACATACTGTTTTGGAAGCCCTGATACTCCTCCAAAGTAATTTTGATAAAACAACGCGGGGTAATTTTCGGGCGCATATTGATAAGAAACCCCAGAACCGGCGTTTTTATAACCGATCTACTCGCCGGCAGAGAGATTGAAACGTTACCTACTAGTTCAAGAACTGACACAAAGATCAGTGAGGGCGGAAAACATTTCGTTATGTACATTAACCTAGTTAGGCATTGTCAGATATGTTTCCCTTGGACGGGTCCGAACCGAATGTCCGCGCAACTGACGCGATAATCGAAATTTCGCACAACAATTAAACAACCTCTATCATTAATTGCAAACTCAAATTCACTCATAAAATGTGTAGATTACGTTATCAAAGCGCGACGAACTGATGATCCATGACTTCGATACATTTTCAGATGTAGTCGCATTGACAGAAACCTGGTCGTCCCAGCATGTGGGGTTAATTATGCCCAAAGACTACCTGCTTAGTAGACAGGTCAGGCCAAACGGTTTAGATAAACTAGTAAAATTCCGTGATTTTTTTCGAGACAGCTAGAGTAACAATTAATTAACAGGTCTTTGGCCTGTTTGTTAGAAGATCTCGATAGATTTGCTATTCGGTGTGACGTCCTGATCATGATAAATTCTAATACGCCACGTCTTTACTGTGCTTTGGTTTTCACAGTCAGTCCATACCCAGCTTTTGAACGCTTTTCACTGTGCATGACGCTCAGGTTATTTCTAGCTAATTCCGCCTAGTTTCTTTAACGGTTCTAAGGAGTAAACGTCGAACACTGTGAACCTTATGCTCACGAAATTGCTGGACAGCACTGTATGGGTGCAATGCATACTCCAACTTAGCCTAAAAGGCCATGGCGTACTGTTGTGGAAATATTCCTGATTACGAGTAGCCGAACGGTCAAGTAATTACTTGAGATAGTTGGGGAGGCGATTTAAATTACATAAAGATCGAAGTAAACAATAAAATCTCGGAATAAGCATTTTCTGGTGACACAATCTAGGATGGAAATGATTTGACTGGTCATTGCACATTGCTCTAACACATCACTGTCCGATATGACGAAAGAAATGATCATGAGATGCAATGCCTAAATGAAACATTAAAGTTTCAATAGAAAACAATGTTGGGAGGAAACCACCTTCATATAGGACTTCTGCGTCGTTAAGAAAGTGCAATGCGCATAAGAATAGTAATTAAGCTATTAAATACCTTTACAAAAGGCCAACTGAACCGCCAAGTAGAGAAGCCAAAGTTGTGATATGGTTATAAAAGAAGGGTCACGCGAAATGAAGACCAAATCTGCTAGAGGCATAGAGTTTAAAGACGATAGGGCATAGACAAAATATAATTTGCAATTTTGAATCCATACATACGTATGCGAGTCTATTTAATCCTCCTGGCCCAACGCCTTAAGCTTTTTCGTTTGCCGAAGGGATTTCTTTTAAAGATCTGATGACGCCTAATGAGTCTCACTTACCTGGATCATATAACATATTTCCGAAATTACTGAAAGACGCCACCTGGAAAGACGTCCGAAGCACAGTTCTTCCTCTCCGGAGTCACATTCGAAGCAGCCTATATACCTGCCGACTGGGAATCTGCAATGAGCACGCCATTGTGCAAATGTGGCAGCAAGGTCTCCCCTAAAAATTCCCATAAAATTAGATTCACTCACTTTGCTTCAAAATAATATAAAAATATTAAAAGGCAAGATAATGCGCTTCATATAGCAGCATAATCTACTATGCGGCGGTAGAGGGACGCTCAGCGATCGTTTCAACGAAATTCGTTCGTCCCGTTGTGCCTTATGGACTTGCTCTCGAGTCCAACCAGCAGCCGCACCAGGCTCATCATATATGCAGATTGGCATTACCGACAAAGGTAAAGTAGACGTGAATGGCAGTTTTGAGCCCCAGGTTGGGTATGACAGGCTGCAGACGGCTAATAGGCCAGAAATGGACATTCCAGTCTACCTTATCTTTGGCAGTAATACCATTATGCTTGTTAAGCGAGACATATAATAGATTCCAAAGGGGTAGGTCTTGTCTGGCAAACATGCTCTATTGTTTTGGATGCTTAACACAGGCGGTTACTAGAAGACATGCCATGCACTCTCTGGTTTCGAATATTAAGACATCTGTATCCTGGTATACGACCTCAGTAACCCCCTGAACAAAATAAGCCGAAGAATTATTAAGGGGCTATACACTTTTATATGTCAAAGATTGTTAGAAGACAGTGGTAGCGGTTGAAATTGCTGTTATCAAGTCTCCGTTCTTGACCTTAGTCTGCTTAGTATAAACGTTATTGACTTATTTGTGATGTCGTCATGTTCATGTACGATAAAAAGCTTTGGAACGATATCTAAAGTGGATTTGACAGGGCGAGTTTGCAGGCAAACTAAACCAACCCAGAAAAATCGTGGTTGATCAATTCCTTTTCGCAATTCTCTGGTAATAATTTGGGTTTTCCTTACGAAAAATATATTGTGGTACACGTTTATGCAATTAATCCAGAATCCGCTCAGTATGCCGATTCTGTATTGTTTTTTTAGGACAGCGTGCTTTGGCAACGAGCTCACCGAAACTGGGGAGATGCCTTTACAGAAATAAGATAAAAATTACAGCTCCCTACAAGATCCCTTCGCGCTGGCGGTTAAAGCTTTGGTTGTATTTAGGCCGTGCCCTTTGTGTTGCAGGCTTAAATGCAATAGGGTGCCGTCGCGTCTGTCGTGGCGAAGTCTTACTATTAAGCCATTTTGTCTCAAGGGTCCTGATGAAAATCATCAACACTGACTTTGTTTACAGAAATGCGAGGAAGAGCAATAACATTGTTCCTGAGTGGCAAATTTGATTAAATGAAAACTAACTTAGGTGGTATTTTAATCGGATGTACGACGAATCAACATGTTTTCGTCACTTCTCACGATGTTCCTAATATTCAGAAAAGTATTTTCTGTACAAGGCATTGGCTATACTGGAAAATAAACTTGTTCGTATATGTGTTGAATATCTAGAAAATGTTCGAGGCAAGACTGTAACACTGAGGGTTAAGTGGGCAAGCCAGTGTTAATCTAGAATCCATCCTTGTCCCAAACATGTTCATTATGCACGACAGCGATCGCAACAATGATTTAAATTGTGGACTGGTTTGGTGAACCTTGCCACGTTATTCTAATAAATCAATAACCGATTCAAAGGGAAAGACTGAACAACAGACACAAATAACTAAATAAAGGTTCAAACATTGATGAATTAGGAGCGGAAGTTTGGGAAATTATAGTTCTCGTATAGGAATTTTGAGGCATTAAATGCATTTAAAAGCAAGGAAACCTTGTAAAACAACTTCTTTGACATATTTTAGAAAAACAATCTACCGAACAGCGGCGCAGAGAATTTAAGATGATTCTATGGTTGAAATGGAAGGCGCAAACGAAACAGGAACCCAATCGCTGAAAAGGATGTTAGTATGAGACAAACCCAGTGCATCTTTCACATAGTTTCGTGCACATTTACAGGATGCGGTAGGTTGATTTCTTCCGACTGCAACTTATTGGAGGACTGTTGCCTAGATCCGAGGGATACTTCACTCAAGCTGGCATGCCCACTTTTTGCGGTAGTCTCCTAATAAGGCGAAAACCAATGGACGAAATTTCTTTTTCTTTCACAGGTAAGGCACAGCGTGGAATGCCCTGCCTGCGTATGTTGTCCTCTTCTCCTTTGTGGACTTATCTGATTACAGACTGGAGGCGCATCAAGCTTCACAATTACAAACCACACTCTTAGGCTACGTGACCCAACATGAAAACCTGAATATGCTACCCACTTATGATAATAGAGTGACTGTTAATGATCACGATTTCTTAACTAGCAGACCGCCGACTGTTTTTCCCATACAATTACGCACAAAATTTATTTTTCAACTTTCCCTTATCAGTGTTTTTCTCAAACAATTTGTAACTAGAGGAAGTTCATAGGCACTCCCCAAAATTTTCCTTTCTGAAACTTTACTGCCTCGACGAATGAGACTGCTTCCTTTGTCTAAACGACCATTCCCAGAGATCTGATGAGGCTAAATATGTCGAAAAGCATGTGATCCAGACGACATGACATCCGATTTGCTAAAGGAGATCATGAGAGAACTGTCCAAACCATTATCATGCGTTCTGAAGCCGGTGCAGGTGTAGCCTACTTAGCTACATTCTAGGAACATGCACAAATCGCAGCATTGATAAAATCGACAGCAAAGACTCCAGAAACAAGTGAAAGCGTATCAGACTCACTTGTGTCATTTACAAAATTGTGAAAATAACAATTCAGCCGCAGCCATTGGGAAACCTGACACAGCATACCCTGCTAAGTGACGTTCGATGGGGATTCCGTGAAGGCAAGTTGTGCGTAACGAGCGTGCTCTGTTGTTTAGAAGGCCGAACTCGGACAGCTGACGTCGGAAATGCAGTAAGTAATGTGCTTACTGGTCCTTAAGAAGGAGCTGGAAAGTGGACTAAATCAGCGACTCCTATACAAAACTCAGCCAAATATGTACAAGTAATTTTCTCCGTGTGCGGATTATAGGTTTCTTAACCGACATCGCCCAGGCTGCCCTTACTTGTAATTGTACTTGATACGGCTGCGACCATGCCTGATCTAGCCGGCCTCGATGATGTCCCGAACTGTACCTCTCCATGCGTGATGAGCCGCGGCAGCAGATCTAGACAGTTCAACCCATTCTCTCCGCCAACGACGGAGGCCGAACACCGAAGGTCCCAGAACCATATCCATGTCTTGACGAATTGTGTCGAGCCAGGTTTTGAACTGACCCCCTCTTCGACGCCTCCAATGGGGCAACGGTGCCGGATCGAGGGCAGTAACACTGAGCTCCTGAGGTGGACGACGAAGAACATGCCCGAACCACCTTAGTCGTCTTTCTTGGATGGCCTGAGTTATCCTCGCGATGTTGTCGCAGCGAGTGCGGACTGTCTCATTTGAGACGAAGTCAGTTAACTTCACTCGAAGGATGATCCTCAGGCAGTAGTGGTCAAATACCTCTAGTTTTCGCTCGTCCTCCACGCGCAATGCCCAGCATTCACAAACGCTGAGAAGGACAGACCGGATAGATGCATGGTACACGCGAATCTTAGTGGCGATGGAGAGGTCACGTCGGTTCCACAGGCATTTCCTAAGGCTTGAAAAAACCTAGCAGGCCGCATCGATTCGGGAGACGATATCATTCTTGCTCTGTCCATTAGGCAGCAGCCTCACCCCGAGGTATTTAAAACTGTCTACTTCTTCAAGTTGACAGCCATCAATCCCCAGGGGTGCCTTCTCCTGGTTAGGGATGTAGTTTGAAAATACTTTGGTCTTTCCAGCGTTTATGGACAAACCTACGGATTTAGCGACCTCGTTCACCCGTGACACCATAGACTGCAGATAACCAAAACTTGAAGCAAGTAAGGCGATATCATCGGCATAGTCGAGATCAGTCAGTTGATGTCCGGGTACAAATTCAATGCCGTCACTATCGCGTAGGGCCCTCCCGAGGATACAGTCAATTGCGTAGCTGAACACTATGGGTGACAGGATACAACCCTGTCGGACGCCAGACCAAATACCGAACGGTTGGGAAAGATTGTTACGGACCAGGACTCTCGCAGTAGTGGAGCGATAGTAGGCCTAGATCCTGGCGATGATTTTTGTCGGTACACCATCCAGCGCCATTATCCGCCATAGGGACTCACGGTGAACGGAATCGAACGCGGTGGCGAAGTCAACGAAGCAGACGGCCGTTGGTTGTTGGTAACTATGGCGAAATTCGAGAATGCGCCTCAGTGTGAATATCTGATCTGCGCATCCACGTCCAGCACGAAATCCGGCTTGGTTGGGCCTCGTCATTGAGTCACGCACAGCCTGGAATCCTCTTAGTAGGACAATATCGAAAATCTTCGCAGCAACGTCGATGAGACTTATGCCGCGTTAGTTCTCGCATTTCGTCTTATCTCCCTTCTTAAAGATAGGTACAAGGATGTCTAAACCCCAGTCTTCAGGAATCACCTCGTCTCTCTACGCTCGTTCAATTACCTCATGGAGCCAGGGCGCCAGAGTGTCGACACAAGACTTGAAGATTTCGACGGGTATATCGTCCTCTCCGGGTGCCTTATTGTTGCGCAACTTTCGTATGTCATCGGCGACTTCTTCCTCGGAAGGGGGATCGCATGGCAATGCATAGGTAGGAGACGGAAGAAATTTAGCTGAGGAGGAGAGCAAGGGCGATGAAGTTTGAGCATCGAAGTTGAGATGGTGATCAAAGTGCTCACGCCAGCGCTTGACTTTGGGCGAGTTGTCAGCAATAAAGCCGCCGTTCACATCGCGAACAGAGTCACTCAGTGTAGAGGGCTTACCGCTAACTTGGCGGATCAGACGGCACAGCTTTCGAGTGTCACCAACGTTCGAGGCCTGTTAAATAAATGTCTCTTTTTAGCGCAATATTGCTTCCCGTCATCACTGGCCTATTTTGCCGTCATCTTCCGAAGTTGGAAGAAGGAGTCATTGTTGCGGGACCTGGCTCTAGTCGTCTGAGCAGAAAACTGCAGGGTTCTTCCGCTGATCCAGTCACTGCGGCGTCGTTGGGTGTATCCTAGGATTTTCTCAGCTGCCCCATAGACTGATGTCTTCAGTGACGACCACTGGTTACTGACTTCTCCGTCGGCTCTGGTTGTAAAACAGGTCCGGATTTCTATGCCTAGGGCCTCAGCAGTGCTGGCTTGCCGGATTTTTGCAACATCGAGGCGTCTAGGACGTGGCATTTTTGGCGCCGATGAGAGATGAACTTTCAGGCGTGTACGGACGAGGACATGGTCCGACCCATGTGTGTTACCAGTCTCGGCACCACGCATCGATCTGCTATCGTGAACCCAGCTGCGGAACCTTGAGCTGACTAGTATGTAGTCAATCTGACTGGCCGTACGACCGTCGTTTGAATACCAGGTCAGCAGATGTTTTTTGCGATGCTGGAAACATGTGTTGGTGACAAGCAGTCGGTTTCAATCTGTGAAGTTCAGCAATTTCTTACCATTTTTACATCGGGAACCAAGACCAAAGCGGTCAAGAAGATGACTGGTTGTGGGGTCGCCAGATACAGTTCGACCATTCCAATCGCCAGCAACAATTAGCAGATCGCGGCGAGGCAGTCTTTCAACTAGCGCTTGCAACTGAGAGTAAAACGCCTCTTTATCGCGCTGTTCGGCAGCCGAAGTTGGTGCGTGCACAGCGACAATGGAGATGCTCGTGAAGTGACCCTTCAGTCGCACGTAGGCCAACCGGTCATTGACTGGTTCCCAAGCAAGTAGCGCGAGGTCCGCTTGTTGTGATAGGGCGACCGTCACACCGTGTCAACCAGAGGAATCGCGGGGGCCGCTGTGGTACAGGGTGAAGTGGGATTCGACTCCCGGGATCTTTATTTCACGAGAGCCCGAGTCAGGAAGTCGTACCTCAGACAGACAGCAGACATCCACGTTGTACTGATGAAGGCTGCGTGCGGTCAGACTTTGGGTACCAGGGTCCAGGAACGTTCGTACATTCCAGCATCCAATACCGAGAGTCCGTCCACGATTGTGTTGTCCAGCTCGCATACTATTCGCCCGCACCACTGGACCGGGGTTGCGAAGCGCGTCCGTTCCCGCGCACGCCGTAGCATGGGTCGTAGTACTGTGATCGGACATGTTTCATGAGTTTTCTTGCTAATTTCGAATACGGGCGGATCCCTAACAGCCGCTCGGATTGTTTGCTCGAGGTGGTCTCCTCTAGCACTTTGGCTTAAAAACCTAATCACAAGGCAGCTGTGGCAAGTAAACTTATTTAATGGCGGTTTACGGTGGCCATGTCACAATGCCATGATTGGGTTTTGCGGCATTTAATAAGGCTTTCAGCGTGCCAGACTTCAGCCCACCGCACCATGGTAGCAATGTCAGACCTGGGTCTGCTTATTTCGCAACTAACCTTCATTGAAGGTCGTCCCACTATCCGCCACCTGCGGACGCGCCGGGTAGCCAGCAGCTAGCCTAACAGGCAACCGTCTTCCCAGCAACCCGTCTTCCCGACTGCCCATGTCTCTGACAGTCATTCGGCAGAGGTTGAATTTGAAATCGGTGTTTGCCTAGGCTTCAAGTGTAGTCTTACCCTGTTCATTATATATATATATGTATGAGATGGTACCGACAAAGACAAGGGAGACCGGAATGGCCATTTCTGGCTTATTAGCCGTCATCAGCCAGTCATACCCAACACCAAGTGTGGATCACTTGAGATTCGAACCCGGGATCTTTGGTCATGGAGTTGAACGCTCTACCATTGAGCCACGGGCCCGTTGTCCTGTCGGTTGTGATCGGGAATATTAATTATGATAGTGGGCGCTCACCGATCAGGTTGCGGAACATGCTCGTTCCGTTGTGCCTTGGGGCTCATACTTAAACCCTCGCAGGCAGTCGCACAGCGACTAGTAGTAGATATAGATGAGATGGTACCGACAAAGACAAGGGAGACCGGAATGGCCATTTCTGGCTTAATTTAATTGTAATAAGGTGAAGACCAGGTTCACGACGAAGCCTTCTGTCTACCACTGCACGGCCGAAATATACGTCGCAGTAATGACGTCAGGCAGTCTATGCAAGTTGCCCTTAGCAGACAACTTTTGGCCTATTGAAGATTACGCAAAATCCCAAGAGCGCCATCTGGCTAAACGGATTCAAGCCAATATTATCCTCGTGCACACAAAAGGTAGGTTTATGGAGAAAATCGAATTCTCCAAACATTACAAACGTTCTTTCAAGTCACATATTTACTCCCCAGAATGCGCAGAAAAGGCAAAAAACCTGCGCACGTTCACAGACGGTGAAATCGATGTCCTCTCAACGCTTTGGGCTGTTCTCCGGTTTCGGTATCCTTTTGGTTGCAGGCTTATTGCGAGAAATTCGCATTTAAACGCCGTAATTTATCCGAATTAGAACGCTCAAAGTAAATGGTGGTTATGGGACAGGACTCAAGCCTTCCTTATTTCTAATCAGCGTTGTCTTCGTGCTTTAGTTATCATTTACATTTGAACGATTTGGGGGTTCCAGCATAGGGATATTTAAAGTGTGTCAACGCGATCAAGGGCTTTTTATTGCGGTTATGCCCATTACTTTAAAGATTGCGACACCATTTTAAAAATGTGGTCGGTTTTCACCTACACCATTTAGTACTACATGCGACAAATATGATATTGAAGAAACTCGAAGTGACACACAGTCACGCAAACCAACACCAGCGACTCAAGCTACACTGAATGCATGCAATTGCGGCCACACATGTGCATCTGCGCACATGTCTGAAAAGGTATTCCTTATTCAGAAGACGAGTTGGCAAGCATACGCTCACTGTGGGTCAGTTTTCTCTAGGCCAGCACACTTGTATAGTCAAACCATATCAGTGATTAGGAAATCTGCTAAAGTTAGCTTTAAAACCCAGGCGGGGCAAGAGCGGAAGGGGGCGAATAAATGCATGTGATTAGTCGATCTTTGACCACGGTAAGCGAAGAGAATGAAAGGGCTCTTATGGACGCATAGGGTCGGTTTTCATAACCAGATTTTGTCAATTCTACTGTTTCCAACAGGCGCTGGCCTAGTAGTTTAGGATAGCCCTAGAGGACCTTATAAATCACAAAATAATCTTTGTCGGGCCACCACGATGCCCATGAATTGACTGAATGCACATGCCTGACGCCGCTTATGCACCTAGTTTTACCTATTCCCAGCCATATGGGGAGGAAAACTCGTGATCCTTTGGGAAGGCTCTGCTATCTATGACAAATATCACCTGTTCTACAGAAGCAAGTGAAGGAATAAATGCACATTTTGGTGGTCGAGATAGCAGCCTGCTCTAACCTTCGCGTAAAATAAAGTTAGCAGACAGTAATTGCCGAACACTTGCTGTTAAGAATGTTTGCCAGACAGCCTGATCAAGACGTCGTCTTAGTTTACTCACAGAATCGCCTTGAAAAGGGTTAAGAACTTCTTTTAGTAGTCAGTATGACAGTTTTACCGGCCGTTCGACGACGCTCTTTGTAGAACAGCTGTCACAATACGCCTTCTTGCGAGAGGTCCAGAATGTTTACAAGCTTCTCCTTGGTGTTGTTTGTTGAGCAATGTTTTCTAGCTTTTTGTGCCAAACATTGGACGTGATTTAGTTTTATGAAACGGTTCCGGTTGGCCAAGATGGTGTCTTGTCCAGATCAGGTTTTTCTCTGATAGACGCACCTTCTGACGCTACTTTCAGGTCTCCTGTTTAAAAAAACATATAATTAAACGATCAGCTAGGCTATTTCCATCTCGTTTTACAGTTAATCGATCGGTGTGCCTAATTTGCAACGTCTTAAATGGCAGGAAAGTTGGTTTCTCTGGTAACAGTCAGAAAGATATCACAAAAGCAGCAGCTTTTATGTTTAAGCTCATCGATCTGATCATTTATTCGAAATCTCCCCAGCTTGCTCATGACGAAGTCGCCAGGAAGATGTGCGAGATGCTAGCTCATACAACTATCTCTATTTTTCTTTGGGGTTGGTTGCTAAAAGGTACTTCAAAATTATCAAACATCGTAATAATAATTTTTTCCCATAGTTCTTCCGAATTCCTTTTTCCGGTTGATTGGTTGGCACGGATTTACAGAATGGATCGACTGTTTCGGTGTATTGCATGTTGGCAAAAGTGGATGGGACGTCTAGCGTGAACACCATCATGCAGCTAGGCTTAAACTCTTGTATGACGTCAATGGCGCTTTCATGTCAAAATAAACACTTAGTCAATAGTGTGTATTCCGAGCACAGTGTATTACATACACAATGACAAAAGGACGGAAAATTTAACGTGTGTCATTGTCGACCGAGTTAAAGTCCTCTGACATAATGGTAGGGAAGCAAGAGAAGAAGAAACACATAAAAATCAAGCAAACAAATAGTTAAATAATAACATTATACGATACGATCTAGACTTACAACCATGCTCATTGGTACAAGTACGGAGAGGTTTGAATGGTGAATGGCAACCACGCATACAGTAGATATAATAGGAAATCAACCGCAGTATGCACATCACCATTCAATGCATCATAAAATTATTATGGCAGTAACTAATGCACGTTCTGCAGGCGTAGCCCACGGCATTCATCATAAGTAGTTATTGTTTGTATTTCGCTTAATCAAAAAGTTCCTAGAGGAAGCTCCACTGTGGTGCAATATGAAGTCGTGGTAATCGTACCCAACATGTTTTTTTTATCCAGAAAGATTGCATCGCCTAGATACTAGTTAAGGATAAATTCAGGACCGAAAGCTGATAACTTAAGTAGATTTAAAGAATAAATTTAGAAGGGATAACAACTCATCAATTAATACCAACGTTTAACTTAACTCAACATGCCAGGGGTTGCACAAAGTTCTCTATCGACAGGAAACCAAATGAGAAAGCACAACATTATAAGAAATTATTTGGACAACGAAATGTGCTCGCGAGAATTGCGAAAAAAATGTTAGAAGCGATATTTGTAATTCGCTGAAAAAGACTGTGGTCGACCTGAGAGGCGTTAATTACACCCCATGCGTAAAATATATTGGCATTGTGTAGACAGCTGTATCCAAATTGTAGTATTTATAATCGTTAATTTTGTTTCAGAGATACACTGAATACATCACGCATTTGATTAAAAGTATTATGCTAATGCAATTACCAGTGGAAACTGTTCTAACTTTAAACCACGATTGAAACAATACATTACCAAAAATATGTCGAAATTGCTGATAGAGGCGAACAGGCGAGTTCCAGGTAGCAGTTCAGAAGATGAAGATGCGATCACCGGAACAAGAAATTTATTTGCCTGGCGTTTCGGATTCTCACTGAAATCCATCATCAGAGACATTCGCTGATAAAGGTGATGGCAGCACAAGAAGTACAATATTTATAGCACGTGGCTGCCGTGGGACCGTATGCGCACTACAACTAACAGTTCTCGCAATCACCGCTGGGGTCAAAATTGGTGCGGTGGTGGCCTGTCGGTCCGGGTCAGAGTCGTTAAATGCCGCGCTTTCGTCATCCGTGCTGGATGCTGATGTGACGATTGCTCGGCAAATTGGCTCACTGTCACTGTGATCATTTCTCGCCCGCGCCCTCCCCACGTGACTGATTCTCCTGCCCAGGGAAAATCGCAGTACGGAGTAGGGTTCCGGGAGGTCATTGTGCTTGTTGATGGATTGCGAGCCTGAGAACCATGACCCCAGCAGCTTGCGGCACAGGCGGATGTCACCCATTGCGAGGACTTCGGCCTCTTAAAAATTGAAAATAGGACTGGGTCCCACCGAGTGAGCCGCCGCCTGAGTGTTAGCGTCTCCCCGCCTCACGGCTGCTGCGTGCTCGGCAGTTTGCGTACGGAGTAATCCCCCAGTTTCTCCGACATAGTTACTTTGTCCGCAACTACACCAGATCTGGTAAACGACTCCAGACGTTTCCTGCAGTAGCAGCGGGTTTTTGGCCTCATAACGTGGCCCCTAAGGGTTGCTTCCGGCCTGTGTGCAACTCCAACTCCAAGTGGAGTGAGAAGAAAACTGACGGCTTCCGAGACGTTCTTCACGTAAGGAAGAACCCGCCAAAATTTGGGGCCGGTTGGATTTGGTCTCTGGTGTCCTTTTCGTATGCACTGGTTGACAAAGTTGCGCGGGTAACCATTGGTTCTTATTACTCGTCGAAGCAACCTTGTCTTCCATTTCGCTGCATTGCCTCTCAACGCGCCGGTATAGCGCCCTTACCCAACTGCATTTGTGACTGATCGGGTGGTTGCTATTGAAGTTACGTATTTGCGTCGTATTTGTCGCTTTCCTTAACACGTTTTTTAGGCCACCACAATCTTTGTGGCAGACGAGGACATCCAGGAAGGCCACGTTAGTCGTCTCGAACGAAATTTCAAAGGCTCTGTACGGGAATCCATTATACTTTACGCTCATTTGAAAAAGACTAAACATACATTGGAATTTTGCAAATATTTGCATAAAATTCATAATACTTACTATGGTTAACAACTGTTAAAACG